AGTAGCAGCAGTAGTAGTAGTAGTAGTAGTAGTAGTAGTAGTAGTAGTAGTACTAATACAAGTAGTAGTATTAACAGTAGTAGTAGCAGTAGTAGTAGTAGTAGTAGTGGTGGTGGTAGTAGTAGTAGTAGTAGTAGTAGTAGTAGTAGTAGTCGTAGTCGTAGTCGTAGTGGTTTTAGTCGTCGTAGTAGTAGCTGTAGCAGTAGCAGTAGCAGTAGCAGTAGTAGCAGTAGTAGATCCCCAAATCACCCTTTTCTCGTTGTGATCTCTGGGCTTTGGGCCCTCCAACACGTCCAGGGTTGGACGGGCGGTCTCGCGTCCCAGGGGCGGGAGGGGGGGGCCTCGCCGATTTGTCAGCGACAGATCGCCAATCCCAGGTCACCGTCTCTCACCACCCACCAAACCGCACCACCAAACCGCCCCAACACCCCAGTGAGGGGGGGGTCGGGAAACATAGCAAAAAAACACGTGGAACCCTTACCCCCAAAACGCGAAATTCGGGTCCGTTTGAGATGAACCAGTCCTCCCTGTCACCTCCCCTTTTTCGGGGGCCAATGACAGAGCGCGTTCGTGGCACACTGTCACGCTTTTCACAAAAGAGGGGGGCCCCCGCTGGAACCGCTACCCCCCCTCCCCTCCCTTGGAAAGTGGGGGGGGGTGTCCGAAATTGCCCCCCCTCCCTTGCTTCAGTGGGCATTTCGGAGCTGGGGGGGCCCTATCTGAAGGGCGGGGGCTTCAAGCTATCCCCCCCCCGTCTGTTCCGGGGCCCAAGGTCAGCCGGGGCTCCCCTTTCAGAGTGGGGGAGGGGCTTCCGGAGCTCCCTCCCCCTTCCTTTTGTTTGGATGTTATAGCTTGGAGGTCCCCGAGTAAAGGGGGGGGTTGGAAGCTAACCCCCCTTGTATTTTTTTTTTCAGGGCCCAGGGTATGCCTGGGCTCCCATTTCGGAAACAGGGGGGAGAGTATCCAAAGCGCCCCCCCCCCCTCTCCTCCTTTTGTAGGCTGCTTTTCCAGCTTGAGCGCTCTGGCTGGAGGAGCGACCTCGAAGCTACTTTTCTTTTTTCGTTTCGGCGCATCGTTGGTTTTCGGCGTACTTGTGGTGTTCGACGTCTCTTTGGTTTTCGGCGCCTCTTTGGGAGCCCCTTTGGCCTTTGGCGCACTTTTGGTTTGCGACGCCCCTTTGGTTTTCGTCGCTCCTGTGGTTTTCGGTGCTCCTGTGGTTTCCGACTCACCTATGGTTTTCGGATTTTTTTTGGTTGTCGGCGCCCATTTGGTTTTCAGAGCCCTTTTGGTGTTCGGCGCCCCTGGTTTTCGGCGACCTTCTGGTTGTCGGTCTTCCTTTGGTGTTCTGCGCCCATTTGGTTTTCGGCGCCTCTTTCGTTTTCGGCGTCATCTTGGTTGTCGGCGCCCCTTTGATTTTCAAGCGTCCTTTTTGGTTTTCCAGCGTCCTTTTTGGTTTTCGGCGCCCCTTCGGTTTTCTGCGCCTCTTTAGGTTTCGGCGCTTCTTTGGTTTTCGGCTTCCCTTTCGTTTTATGGCGCCCTTTTGTGGTTTCCAGCGCATCGTTGGTCTTCGGCGCCCTTTCTGTTTTCGGCGCTCGTTTTGGTGTTGGGTGTTCCTTTGGTGTTCGGCGCCCCTTTTTGCTTCTCGGTGCCCCTTTGGTTTTTGGTGCCCTTCTGGTTTTCGGCGCACTTGTTATTTAATCGCTTCGCTCATTCCGCCGGCCCATATTGGTGCACGGCTGTCGATTGCCTCAGTGATCGGAGTAACTGCGGCTGATGGGTTTGGTTGTTGGTCATGGATGGTCGGCTTGTGGCGACCTTGCCGGGAGGAGCAATTTTTTGCATGCCTGAGCCGTCTTATCTGGAAGGTGGCGGTTCGTGAAATTTTACCGCAGGAAACAAGAAAACAGTTCGCAGTCTCCTTGTCCTCTGAACTTCCTCCTTCCGCTGCTATGTGTAATCGTGCGTGTGTGTTGGGGAGGGGGGGGGCGGGGGGGTTGGGGTAGGGGGGTAGAGGCGCGAGCGTGGAAAGTGTGGGTGGCAGAGGAGGAGGAGGGGGGGGAGATGGGGGCTCTTGGCGGTATTAATTGGTCTTCTTGGAGCCTCACGGGAGCTTATTGGGGCGTCTTGGGGCTGTTTTGGAGGGTCTTTCGGGGCGGAGGACTTCAAATTCACGTTGGGGCTCCTCGTGGGAGGCTCTCTTGGAGTAGTCGTGGGAGTCTCTTGGGCCGTCTCGGTTTGGGGTATCTCCGGTGCTTCTTAGAGGCAGCTTTGAAGTCTCTTCAGGGTCTCTTGGGAGGCCCTCGGCGGTCTCTTCGCGGTATGTGTGGGTCCTCCTGGGGCTTCACGGCGCTTCACCGCAATCAGCGTTGTTGGGGTGTCTCGGGAGCCTCTTAGAGGCAGTTGTGAAGCCTCGTGACGGTCTCTTGGGGGGCTTTCGGCGGGCTCTTGGCGGTATTTGTTGGTCATTTTGGGGCCTGGGGCCTGACGTTGTTGGTCCTCTTGGGGCCTCACGGGAGCTTATTGGGGCGTCTTGGGGGTGTCTTGGAGAGTCTCTTGGGGTCTCTTTCGGGGTCCTGGGCGCCTTCTGGGGCGGAGGGCTCGATTTCTCAGTTCTCGGTTCCCTTCTTGAGCCCCTCTTGGGCCCGTCTTGGGGCCTCTTGGTCCGCCTTGGGCGGCACTTGGGCCGTCTGGGGGGCGCTCTTGGGCCGCTCCGGGGCCGTCTTGGGAGCCTCGTGGGCCGTCTTGGAGCAGTCTTGAAGGCCTCTTGGGCCCTCTTGGAGCGTCCGGAAGCCAAAAGGCCAGAACGCAAAAAACATAGAAAAAAAACCAATGAAAATCAACGATTTTGGCGACTTGGGGCCCTCTTCGGAGGCCTCTTGGAAGGCCCTTGGAGCGTCTTGGAGGCCTCTTGGGCTGTCTTGGGGCCATCTGGGGCGTCTTCGGGCGATCTTTGGCCGTCTCGGGCGTCTCTTGGACCGTCTAGAAAGCTTCTCGGGGCCCTCTTGGACCGATCTGGAGCCCTCTTGGGCTCCGAAACAGAACTCCGGCATCTCTGACCCGACCTTGCCGGGACCTTGCCGGGGACTTGCCGGGGACTTGCCGGGGACTTGCCGGGACCTTGCCGGGGTACTTTTCGTCCGGGGACCCCCAGGGGCCGCCCCGCGCGCGCGAACTAGAAATACTGTTAACCAGGTACTGGAGATCTTAGCACGCCCTGGCCCGTTATTGGGCCGGCGAATTCCCGGCGCGTCTTTGGTTTTCGGCGCCCTTTCTTTGTTCGGCTCACCTTTGGTTTTCGTTTTGTATTGTTGGTTGTTGGTTTTCGGCGCCCCTTTGGTTTTCGGCGCCCTTTCGGATTTCGGCGCCCTTTTGGTTCTCGGCGCCTTATTTGTTTTCGGCGCCTCTTTGGTTTTCGGCCTTCCTTTGGTTCTCGGCGCCGTTTTGTGGTTTTCGGCGCCCCTTTGGTTCTCGGCACCGTTTTGGTTTCTGGTGCCCTCTTGGGGTTTGGCGACCTTGTTGTTGTCGGCGCCCTGTTGGTTTTCGGCACCCCCTTGGTTTTCGACGTCCTTTCCATGTTCGGCGCCCCTTTCGTTTTCGGCGACCTTTTGGGTTCCGGCGCTCTGTTGGTCTTCGGCGCCTGTTTGTTCTTCGGCGCTGCTCTGGTTCTCGGGGCTCTTTTGGTTTTCGACGCATCTTTGGTTTTCGATACCCCGCTGGATGTCGGAGCCGTTTGTGGTTTTCGGCGCCCCTGTGGTTGTGGGCGTGCTTTTGGCGTTCGGCGCCCTTTGGTTTTCGGCGCTCTTATGCTTTCCAGCGCTCTGTTGGTTTGCGGCGCTTTTTTATGTCTTCGGCCTCTTTTTGGTTGATGCTCCCTTTGGTTTTCGGCGCTCTTTTGGTTTTCGGCGCTCCTTTTGTGTTCGGCGCTCCTTTGGTTTTCGGCGCCCTTTCTGGGTGTTCGGCGCCCCTTTGGTTTTTGGCGTCCTTTCGGTCTTCGGAGTTCCTTCGGTGTTTGGCGCGCCTTTGGTTTTCGCACACTTTCGGTCTTCGGTGGTCCCTAAGTTTTCGACGCTCTGTTGGTTTTCGGTTCCTGTTTGATCTTCGGCCCTCGTTCCCTTAGCCAAAGGTGGGGGGGGGCTTCCGAGCCCGCCCCCACCCCCCTGGCAAAATGGGGGGGAGGGGGGAGCGGGTTTCGAGCAGGAGAGGTTTAAAGGAGGGGGTAGCAGAGCCTTCCTTTCCGCTTGGGGAGGAGGAAGGCGAGGTAGCTCCTGAAGCGCGAGAGGGAGGGGGGCAGGGCAGCTTCCGCGACAGCAAGGGGGGGGGGGGAGGAGCTCTCAAGGGGCGGGGAACAAGGAGGGGGGAAGCTTCCAGCAGGGGAGGAGCTCAGGGGGGACCCCCCCCTCTGGGAGTGTACCACGGGCGCGCTCTCTCACGCCTCTGATGCGATGTGCACGTGGCCCCCCATGGAGGTCCGGACTTTTGTCTCCCGGGGACTTGGCTCTCACCCCGAAGCGTTCTTTGACGGCCCCGGGGCCTCTGAGGCTTCCCTACCTGATTTCTGCTCTTGGCGGCGAGCCCACGGGGGACGCGAGAGGGAGCCCAGGCCTTGTCCATGGGCGCCGGCGCTTTTCAGCGTCCCCCGCGCCTTCCGAGAAGCTCTGCAAGCCCTCTCCGAGGCCTCAGGCGGCTTCACAGAGGGGCAACGGCACTCCGCTGCTTGTCTCCAGGCTTCCAGGTGGGGTCCGATGCGATGCGTCGGGGGCTCGCGCCCCGCATCGACGATGCATCGGCGATGCTGCTCGATGTGGAGCCCGACCTTCGTCGCGCTGGCGTCGCCGATGCATCGCCGACGTCGCCGATGCCTCGCCGACGTCTCGGCGATGCGGCGCGAGCCTCCGACGCCACCCAGTCGGAGGCCCCTCTCTCTCTCCACTGGGGGGAGGAGCCGCAGCAGGAGAGGGGGGAGGAGGAGCGAGGAGGAGGGTCAGCGTGGCGCCCGCGAGGTGGTCTTCTTCCCCCTGCCCTTCTCCCGCCCCGCGGGCGACGAGCGCCCGCAGCTGACGCGCTACGCGGTCCTCAAGAGGGGAAAAACACACACACACAGACACAATGAATCGTCGAGTCCCAGGAACATGTGGGAAAATATAGGAAGTGGGGGGGAATACAAAAACCCAGAAAATATGCGAGAATATGGGGAATCGTTTTATTTGTGTGTATTTACTTGTGTGTCCTGGGGCCCCTTCAGGTCCGCCGGGCACGCCGGGTTCAGCGCCACCTTCACGGGCAGGGCAGGTTCGCGTCGTGTCGAGCGGCGGCGACCCCACCGCTGGCGTTCATTGTGGAACGCCGCCGGCGACCCAGAATCGGTGGATGCTGAACGATCTGACGTTTCATCGGAGGCGGCAGATCATGCAAGATCGACCGATCCCCGCGGTGTCAGAAACGAGCGCCGGGGTCGTCACGACACGACCCTCCGAGCAGTGGCGAAACGTCCTGGCTTGCCTACCGGCCCACTATCTGGAAAGAACGTTTGCGTACAGTGACGACCTGCTGTTCATTCCTGGGACCCCTTCTGGCTTGACCGATTTTTGGACTTGCTGGATTGTCTGGAATGCCCCATCGGGCCCACATTGAACTTCAAAGAGCCGCGTGCTTCTGATCGTGGGCAGTGGCGCAGGCGATGGCATTCGCGCTCGTTGTGCCTCCCTGGTCCGACGTTTCAGGAGTTGGTGGTCTTGCGCTCTACCAAGTATTTGGAGGTGATGATTGGGCCCGATGGTGGGGCTCTTAGTGGGCCGTGGAAACGACAGGGCCGTTTTTTTACCGGTTCCGTTTGACGGTTTTGTTGCCGGTTCCGACGCCGTTTTTTCACCGGTTCCGTCGCTGTTTTTCGACCGGTTCCGGCTCCAGTTCCGATCCTGGAGCCGTTTTTTTGCCGTTTCCGGTCGCCGTTTTTTTGCCATTTCCATTTCCAATGGACATTTTTTGGAAACGGTAAAAAAAACGGCCTTGCCGTTTCCGGGCCCACAAAGGTGAGGCTCATGCTTGGGACGAAATTTGTCCTCGGTTTCTAGACCGTACTCTTGGACGTTAGGCAAGCAGACCTCGTCTTACAGTTGCGATATCCGCACCTTCCACGTTCTGTGCTTGTCGTTGCTGCGGTACGCGCTGTAGTTTGCAGAACGTACTACCCGCCGTCGGTTGCACTTATAGAACGTATTACCGTTGCGCACAGGTACCCACCCAGGGTGCATGGGGTGACATACCACAGGATTTTCTGGATGGGTTTATGATGTGTTGTGGGGGCATTTATGTGCGGGCTGGGTGTGCCAGGCATTGTGGAACTGAGCTTCGGAGAGATCGGCCCGTCAGTGCATCTGACGAGTGTATTGTGGTTCTGCTACATCGGGGGTGGTGGAAACGCTCGTTTGTCTACCATGCGTCTGTGGGTCGTGGTTTGTTGCTGCCCGCATTTTTCCCCTTCCCGCCGCTGGTCGCGGGGACAACTGTGCAATGTAAGCTGTATGACCATCCCTGCCTCTGGTACCCGGGACTCGGGAGGCATGTGAGACATGTTTCGGTTGTGAGGCGCCCGAGAGGGCTCCCCACTGTGGACCCCGATTGCTTCCCCAGCGCGGCGAGGAAGCCCCAGGTCTCGCGCAGAACCACTCGCCCATACTTTGCCGCGACGAGCGTTCGAGGTGCCAGCCGAGGCCTGTGTGCGCCCTCCCGCTCTAGGTCCACGGAACCCCCCACGGTAGTTCCGGCTGCCAGGGATGATGCTGACATGGCCGACGCGAAGTTTTGCGTTGTGTGCCCGCGGATGCCCGAAGTTTCTTGGGTGCGAAATGGACTGCGTGGTCGCGCCCACGACGGGTTTTCTTGCCTCCCGCGCCTCGCGCCTCGCCCCCGTGCGGAAACCGATGTTCGATCTGCCCGTGTTTGTGCTGCGTTCTGCGTTGCCCACAATATGTACATCCCCAAAAAAGTCCCGTGTTGCCGCCGCCGCGCTCGAGAGTTATGTTGCCCTCATCGTATTGAAGGGCCGCATCCGTGACATAATTTCGAGCACCCGGAAAAGTGTCGAAGCAGTGTCGGACGAATGATCCACAGGGCCCGACACGGGAAAGTCCTCGCGTTCCGGTTTTTCTTTGTGTTCGATACTCTTTTTGTGTTCAAGGATAAAGTAGGTTGGAACATCATAAGTCCCGTGTCGGTCTGTCGCTGCTTTTTGAAGGGCGGTTCCGTACCCAATGTTGTCGCCATCCCCCCATCCAAGATGCATGGAACCAAGGTTTTTGAATGCAGGCTCGTGCCTGCCACCTTTTCGTCTGTGATCACCTCCTGTCTTCTCTGATAACTATTCGTTGCGCATTCTCTTCCCTGTCGAATTCACTGGCGGGGTTTCGTTGTCCACCGCTGGAGTCCTGTCCTTGCCTCTGGCCGCTCGCAATTGGCCTTGCGGTGCGTCTGAACTGCATTGTTGGTGTTGGGCCCCCGCCGGGGACTGGCGGCCGCCCCTCTGGACGCCCAGGGTGGCCGACGTGGGCCGTGGCCGCCCCGCTCGGGAACGTGCGGATTCGCTATCGGGCGGGGGCCGTCGGACCACCTCGCGACGAGAGCCAAAAGCCCCAAGTCGACAAACGCACGGGGAGAGGACGTCCGGGCGATGGCAAGTCAAGAAGAATCAGATGTAGTCAGGACCCCGGTTGAGGAGAGGCGACTGTTGATCGGGGCCCGAAACCCAAACCGTAAACCAGGATCGCCAAGCCAACTTTCCCGTGGTTGGTGTTGCTTCGGGTGGCAGTTAGTGGCATCGGGGCGGGAGGCGACGGCAGCACTTTGGCGCTTCCGTCGCCTGGTCCCCCCCCAGAAGGAGGAGGAGGAGAATGATGATGAGGAGGATAATGATGATGATGAGGATGAGGAGGAGGAGGAGGAGGAGGAGGAGGAGGAGGAGGAGCGAGGAGGAGAAGCAAAGCGGAGAGGAGGAGGAGGAGGAGGAGGAGGAGGAGGAGGAGGAGGAGGAGGAGGAGGAGGAGGAGGAGGAGGAGGAGGAGGAGGAGGAGGAGGAGGAGGAGGAGGAGGAGGAGGAAGAGGAGCGACGGCGGGTGTTGCAGCGCAGCGACGGCGGCTCCCGCCCCTTTGTTGCTTTAGCTGGGGTTGGGGGCGGCTCGTGAGCGGGAGGGCGGGGCCCGCGTGGGTGGGGCGGTTGCTCTGCCGCAGCCCCTCTCCTCCGTCCTACCAACGATCATGCGTCAAAGCGTGAGCAGCAGGAGGAGGAGGTGGGGGAGGGGGAGGAGGAGGAGGAGGAGGAGGAGGAGGAGGAGGAGGAGGAGGATCGTGCGCCTCCACCGCCCAGATGTGTGCATAGCCTGCTCCCGCATGCGCGTTTCCGTGCTTGTTGTCTTTCCTTCCTGCCGCGCCTGCTCCAGCTGCGCGCCTCTGGGCCGTAGCGTTTGCCACATTGCCCGGGTCGGCCCTCTCCTTGCACCAACGTCCTGCCGCAGGGGTGGACCTAAACTGTGCGTTTTGGCGATTTCGTGGCCGTTTTCGTCTCGATTTTGTTTTGCGGTAAAGGCGGATTGAAGACAACACGAGGGGAAACGAAAACAGAACGAAAACGAAAAACACCGTGTAGGTTCAGCCCTGTCCTGACGCAGTGGCCACGGGAAGCACGCGGCCTCCACGGGGGGGGGAGGGGCTTGGCCCCCCCCGCGAGGTCACCGTGCCCAAGAGCGGCACAGTGGGCCGCGTGGAGCGGGCGCTGGCGGGCCGCCTGCCAGTGCCGATGTCCCACGTGCTGCTGGCGGAGGCCTCGTCGCCGCCGTCGTTCAAGCAGTGGCGAAGCGTCCTGGCGTGCCTATAGTCCCACCAAGCAATGTTCTAAGAACCTGTTGTGGTTCCACGAAATGTTCTTAGAACATTTCTGGTTGGGACTGTCTTGCATTAACACATTGGGCTTATCTTCTAAGAACAGTGCTTTTGTTCTTATGATCTTAGAACACGTTTGGGTTCTAAGAACATTTCGTGGTATGACTATAGGCATGCCGGGACGGTCGGTCCCTGCTCAAGGGTCGAGGTTCGAAGATTAGGGTCCTCGATTTAGGCGATAGGATCGAGGATCGGGGCTCGAGGATCGACGGAGGCTCGAGGGTCGATCGGCCCTCCTCGTCGTCGTCGATCGGGGCTCGACGATCGGGGTGATCGTCTTGAGCGGTTGAGGATCTTGTCTCAAGGCACGCTGGAGGTTCGAGGATAGATCGACCCCCGAGCCCCGAGGATCGATAGATCTGAGTCGTCGTCCTCTTGGATCGGAGTTCGAGGACAGGTCCTCGTCTCAGGCTGTCGGGGATCAAAGATTTTGCAGACATGTTCGAACAAGGACCACCGTCATGTGCGTACACTCTCCAAGTTCATGGTTTTTCCAAGTTCCGCGCGGATTTGCAGGATCTGCGCTTGGCCCATCGGCAGCGCCTCTGGCTCCGCCCTTGGTGCTCTTTGCGCCCGCAGGAGGGGTGTCCAACGCCCATCCAAGACGTCCTTGTGGACTTTCGTCAGCTTGTGCTGATGCCGTTCGTTGTTCCTTCAGTTGAGTAAGAAATGACACTGAGAAAAAGACAGCAGGAGAGGGGTTCTGCCGCGGGGCCCGAGTTTGGAGACGACGAGGAACGACTTTTGTCGACGACGAACCCAATAAGGAGGCCTGACGCCCAATGTATGAATTATCGCCCAGCGCGCTGCTGCATGACGGGCCCCCAGGGTTTTTTCATCGTCATCCCGTTGGAGTGCCGATGATCGCGGTCGTCGTCGTCCTCCTCCTCTTCGTTATCGTAGGCGTGGTCGGCGCCGTCGTGGTCGTCGTCGTCGTCTTCGTCGTAATCTGCGATCGAGAACAGACGTAACCAGGGACCGGGTTATGAATATCAAAGTTCCTTGGAAGCCTCTGGTGGACCTCCAGGGGACCAGGGTTTCCCCGCCGATCGAAGGGCGGGGTTCGTTGACGAACATCGACAGCTGCTCCTGTCCATGCTGAGCAGACGTCGCCGTCGTGATCGCCACGGGCGTTGTCGGTTTTCAGCCTGGTTTGTTGCAGGGCAGCGCTTCAATGATCTGTTCGTCCCCATTTCGGACGTCGTCGGCGATCGAGGTTCGAGGATTGAGGCCCGGGGGGCGCTGCTCGCACGATCTTGGCCTCGCAGGGTGGCACACGGGTGGCCACGGCAGGAGTCCCCGTCGAGGTCTCGGTCGGGACGCGCCGCAGGAGAGGTCTCGCCGTCGGTCGGGGACGGCCTAGAGAGGGGTGATCATTAGGGGTAACTTGGGCATGTCCTCTGCAGGGGGAATAATAGTCCAGAAGATCAAGTGATAGTCTGATGGCGATTTGTCGTGCGCTTTTGTGGTATGTTTGATTCTGTTTTGACGCTGTTCATTTTGAATTCAAAGGCCACCTGTAGGAGGGCATTCCCGATCTAAGATGTAAGGGGGACTGGGTATCATGGCGCGGATCATGATATGCCCCCAATGGCCCCCTCTTCTTGTTCTTTGTCCAGTTCGTGCCTTGAGCCCCCCATCGTCCGCGCACGTGCACCGGGCTATGCGTCCCGATCCCCCTGTCTTGGACGCATCCCCCTTGGACGCCCACGGCATCGGAGGCCTCCCGCTCCCGAGGAATCGGAGGCCTCCCGCTCCCGAGATCTTCGGGGGGATGTCTCCCGGGGTCTCCAGGGATCCTCGCAGGGACTCGCGCAGGCGGGCCTGCGGCCCAACGAGGCGGCAGCATCCTCCCTGGGCGTTCCGGGATGTTCTCAGAGCGTTCTGGAGCGCTCTGGAACTGCCGCGGCACCAGATACATTCTGCAGGCCCACAGGTTCTCCCAGATCCCGGCGAGTCCTCCGAAATTCTCCTCTTGTTTCTTGTGCCGGGGAGGACCCCAAGGCAGGGCAGCGGCGGCGAAATGTATGAGTGCCCCGTCCCCTCAGGACCCCGGTCGTGTGCAGGTGTTCGATCATGGGCCTCTTGTGGGGCGCAGCCGCCCAGCTTCCGCGCCGAGCCCCGCCAGAAGCCGCCGAGGACCGCCCAGAAGCCGCTCCCCCAGACTTCTTCCCGACACCATGATCACCGCCCAGAAGCCGCTTCCCCAGATTTCCCGACATCATGATTTTTCCATGTAGGGCCCATGCCAAGAAGCACCCTGCTTGCCTCCGGGGTGCCCTGGGTTTCTTGGGTTTCGATGGTTTTGCCATGGACAGCGTGACGTTCCCACACCAAAAAGCAGTGGCCGTCCTGGGGTCTGAGGGTTGGGTTTCTTGTGGAAGGTTTTTTTGGTGGACTCGCCCCCACTGTAAGGTCGACCCCCAGAGGCCTCGACCCATTCCCCGGCACCGGCTTCTCATCCGGAGTCGCCGCCTGACGATGCCGAGGCCCGGGGAGGGCCCCCAGATACCGAACCTAGCTTTAAGTCGGGCCTGTCCTCTAGTCCAAAAATAGTCCAGGGACTATTTCTTGCGTATTTGTCGGCCTTTCTGGAAATTTTTGTGTTTTTTTATTTTTCGTCGAAAATCCCCTGTAGGGGGACAGGCCCGACATAAACCGAGCGAAGAGCCATCCGTCGCGATCTTCTCGTGACCCGAAGGGGGCGGGGCTCTGGGCCCTCCGTGGCGCGCCGCGGCGGCCCCGCCCGGAGGTCTACCGCAGCCGCATCCACCGGTACCTGGGCCGGGACCTGCCGCTCTCGGACATCCGGGCCGAGGAGCCGCGCCTCCCCCCGCGCGCCCCGGGCCTCCCGCCCCCCAGACCCCCTCGAGTCTTGGAAAAAATCACGACGCGAGGTGTTTCGCGATTTTCGGCCCCTGGGGACCCTATACCGGCCCTCAGGACCGTCAAAAAAAACGGCTCAGGATGAAGAGCCGGTCCCAGGGAATGGGTTTGGACCTCTGGGGGTCGCGTCATGAAAAAATCATGACGTGGGGGGTCTGGGCCCCCCCCCCCCCTCGCTGGGCGCCGCCGCGGCGGGCGCCCAGCGGAGGAGCACGGGCAGGAGCCCGCGCGCTGCAGGGGTCTGGGCGGCGGCGGCCGTGCTCCGCCCGCTCACGGCACGGGAGGTTTCCGTGGGCTCGTGGGAGGTTGTCCCGATTCGTTCTTGTCGGGAGGTTCCTTCCAGCCGCTGCGCCTCGTCCGGAGCTCTCAGGGGGGGCCCGGGTCGAGGCCCGAGCTAGGACCCTAAAACCACCAGGGGCCTTTCTGCAAGGTCTTGGCGATAGCAGCCGTGAGCCGCCCTCTCCTCCCTCGGATCACGTCGCGCTATGTTGTCCACATGTGCAGGGATGTCGTGCGGATTCTTCTGGGATGTCCTCCGATTTCCGGCGGCTTCCCGCCGTGATTTCATCGGGGTGGACGAACGAACTCCCCCCCCCCTTCCCCCGATCCCGCCCGTGATCGCTAACAATGTGCAGAGAGGCAGAGGCTCCAGGCAGACCGCACCGTGAGGATGGGTAGCTTCCCGAGCCCGCAGATCCTGTCGTCGCAGATGTTTCACAACGGGCGTGCCCGTCCGGATTTTCAGTCCCCAGGACCCTCACAGATGGACGCGGCGCTCTAACCATGGCGCAGAAAGATGGGGTCTAGGCCTAGGGTTCTGGTCGCAATTTTGCGCGGTGCTGTAGCTTCATGGCAACGTCAGATCTGAGGGAGGTTGCTCTGAGCATCCTTAGCCTTAGGGGAACGAACAATGACATAAACATACAAACTCCCAGGTCTGCGCGGATTTCTCGATTCGGCGCTTGACACCCCTCCATGGCGCGCGCGGATCACGCCAGGGGCGGCGCTGGAGGCGCCGCCAGAGGGGGTCCAGCACGGATCCGAGAAATCCTTGCGCCCTTCCGAGCTTTTATGTTTACAGTCGACCCGCATAGTAAGGATGCGCAACCTTCCCACGGGTACCCTTGCATCCTTGCCTCCTCGGTCCATCCTTAGCGACTTTCTCTGGCCAGCCTCGTCCGAGCAACGGTCTTGTGGCCCTCCAAGGCCCTGGCATCCTTACCGCGCATCCTTGCTATACGGGTTGACTGTATGTCATTGTTCGTTCCCCGAATTCTGGCCTCTCGGTCCATCCTGGCCCTCGGCCGTGGGCGTCCTGGGGCAGTGCGCCCTTCCTGCCCCCCCCCCATCCCCGCGTCAGCGCCCGGGAGGGCGGCGCAGGAGGGTGCCGCTCTTCCGTGCGGGGTGCTGCAGCAGAGCGGCAGGGGAGCGCAGCTTCTCCCAGGCATCCAACCAAAGGGAGACAATCGGGACGGAGTAGGAGGGAGGAGGGAGCAGGGAGGAGGGAGGAGGGCGGAGGGCGGAGGGAGGAGGAGGAGGGCGCGGATGGCGGAGGGAGGAGGGAGGAGGAGGGAGGAGGGGTGGAGGGGAGGGAGGAGGGAGGGGGGGATGGAGGTGGGAGAGGCGATGAGGAGGAGGGAGGAGGAGAGGAGGGGAGGAATAGGAGGAGGAGGAGGAGGAGGAGGAGGAGAGAGGAGCAGGAGGAAGGGAGGAGGAGGAAGAGGAGAAGGACGAGGAGGAGGAGGATCGGAGGATGAATTTGAGGATGAGGAGGAGGAGGAGGGAGGAGGAGGAGGAGGAGGAGGAGGAGAAGGAGGAGGGAGGAGGAGGAGGAGGAGAAGAGTGGGAGGGGAGGAGGAGGAGGAGGAGGAGGAAGAGAGAGGGAGAGGAGGAGGAGAAGGGAGGAGGAGGAGGAGGGAGGGAGAGGGGGGCGGGAGGAGGAGGAGAGGAGGAGGAGGGAGGGGAGCAGGAGGAGGAGAGAGGAGGAGGAGGAGGAGGAGAGGAGGAGGAGGAGGAGGAGGAGGAGGAGGAGGTGAGAGGAGGAGGGAAGGAGGGAGGACGGGAGGAGGAGGGAGAGGACCGAGGAGGAGGACGGGAGGAGGGGCCCCGAGATGTCCCCCAAGATGGCCCATAGCCGTCCTGGCCCTGCTGCAAAGCGGCCGAGCCTGGGGTAGGAAGGCAGCAGCACTGCAGCAACGAGGAGCGCGGGCGCGGCAAGGTGGAGCGGAGGAGGTGGGAAGGCAGAGGGGAGGAGGAGGAGGAGGAGGAGGAGGAGGAGGAGGAGGAGGAGGAGGAGGAGAGGAGGAGGAGGAGGAGGAGGAGGAGGAGGAGGAGGGAGGGAGGGAGGAGGGAGGAGGGAGGAGGCAGGAGAGAAGGAGGAGGGATGAGGGAGGAGGGAGGCGGCAGGAGGGAGGAGGGAGGAGGGCGGAAGTTGTTCCACGTGTTTGGCCTCCGGGGGCCCTCTCGGGGCCCCTGTGCCGTCAAGAAGCGGCTCGTGAGCTGGCCCTTAAGGAGACGGTCGGGTCTTCCAGGGGCCCCGCATCGAAAAGTCAAGACTTTGGACCTCTGGTCTTCAGGAAATTGGAACGAAGCAAGTGGGGACGGTCACCGTCAGCAGCGCCCGTGGATTTCGAGAAGGGGTCGTTGAGCTTTCATCCTCGCCGCCTTTGTGCCTTGCAGTCACGCCGCACGGGATGGACAAGGAAGTTTCCAAGGATGGCCTCGCATCCTTGCCTCAGGGCCGTGACTAGCCCTTAGTCATGGGCTATGGGCTTCCGACTTCAGCTTCCGTTGGAGCGTCAAAGGGCCTCGCATTCTTGCCCCGCAGCCTCACGATCCGGTTGCCATGCAGCCCTATAGTGTGTTTGGAGCGCTCGGGACTGCTTTGGAACCGCCGCGGTGCCCGATACATCCTCGAGAGATTTCCAATGTATCTTCAGACGAATGTATGCTTAAGTCGGGCCTGTCCCTCTACAGGGGGATATCCAACAATAGTCAAGAGTTCTTGCGGGGACGATGTTTTGAACTATGTTTGAGCATTTCGGGTGTATCTTTTTAAGTATTTAGATAGTTTCGCCCCGAAATCCCCCTGTAGGTGGACAAGCCCGACCTAAATGTATGCTGATCCTGCCTTCACTTCGCGCCATCGAGGGACGAACACGTACAGTTATCCACGCTGGTTTCGAGAGTGCGCAGTGCACGCACGTACATATCACGGGGATGGTCTCGCGGACTGGGGGGTCGCGTTCATGTGCGTGGTTGGGCGCATGCGTCCACTTCCTGAACAGGAGGTTCTGGGATCGCCTACTCCTCCTCATCCTCCTCCTCCTCCCCTTTCTCCTCCTCTGCTTTCCCACCTCCTCCGCCCCCACCTTGCCGCGCCGCGCTCCTCGTTGCCCGCAGTGCTGCGCCTTCCTGCCGCCCCCCCCCGGCTGGGCCGCTTTGCGGCAGGGCCAGGACGGCTTGAGGCCATCTCGGGGTCTCTCGGGGAGGCGTCTCGATACTTTTTCGGGGCCAGGCTTGTTCATTCCCGCCTTGACCCGTACCCTGCCAGGACATCCCGTTTGCAGAACAACACGCGCAGGGCCAGGACGGCTTGAGGCCATCTCGGGGTCTCTCGGGGAGGCGTCTCGATACTTTTTCGGGGCCAGGCTTGTTCATTCCCGCCTTGACCCGTACCCTGCCAGGACATCCCGTTTGCAGAACAACACGCAACTATTCCATGTGTATAAGTTGAATCTTCTGAGTTGTTAGCATCAGGTTGTTAAGTTCACTATAGTGCTCGCCGAGGGGCCACTGCTGGGCAAACTATCAGACTACCGAGAACGTCGTCGGATCTCTGGGGCCTATGTGGGGGCCTTTGGGGAAAAGTAGTGCGAAGGCCTTTCGGCCAGTTCCGCAGACCCTTGAATGTGGCACTACAAGACGGACGAGTTGGGCCGAGGCGCTCGAGGGGAGCAATGATGGAGGTCTTTGGGGTTAGTGTGGGGCCCTCTTGGGGCCGTTTTGACATACGGCCATCTTGGGGCTCTCTTGAGTCGTCCTAGGGGCTCTCGTAGGACCGTCTTGGCGCCTTGGGGCTTTCCAGGACTGTTTTGGGGATCTCGTGGGGGGCCTCGTGGGCCGTGCTGGCGCGACCTTGGGGGCTTGTGGGGCCGTCTTGAGCTGTTTTTGGCTTCGTGAGCGTCTTGGCGCGATCTTGTGGGTTTTTCGGATGCTCTTGAGCGGTCGGAAGGCGGAAAGAGTGAGAACACGAAAACCATTGGGCAATCAATGATTCTGGCCTGTTGGGGCTATCTTGACGGCGCTTCCGAAGCCCATTTGAGGCGTCTGGGGGGGTTCTTGGGCCGTCTCGATGGCGACTGGGCCCGCCTTGGAGCGCTAGCGGGCCGTTTCAGGGCTTGCGGGTCCGTCGAAGACCAACGTTGTCGGAAGAGCGCAAGATTAGCCTGAATTGAGAGTATCTTCGGTTCTTTGGAGCAGGGGCATCAGTATTTGTGAGTCCTCTGAGAATCTCTGTTTCCAGGACCAGCGTCAACAAGGGGGGTAAGTACGGCCCGACTCCCATAATATCCCGAGCTTGCCGCATCAGGCCCGGGGTTTGACCAAGCAGTCCTGCCCTGCTCGTTTCCTTCCTGCGGTGCGTTTGCCACGCGGGTGCTATATCTGTGAAAGGGGTGCTCGTGGTGAGGGCCTCGCTTTCAGGGGTGCTCACTGCGAGGGTGGCCCTTCTGCCCTCCTGTCTTCCTGGCGCCAAGGTGCGGGCAAGATTCATGTCCATATCCAGTGCCTCTTGGACTTTTTTGGAACCGGCGCCACAAGGCCGAGGCGCACTGGATGTGGATAAAAATCGAGCCTCTAGGGGGCAAATTTATCCATATCCAGTGCGCCTCGGGTTTCTTGGGAAGGGAGCCCGGAACTCCATACTGCAGTGGATATGGACAGAAGTATTGCCCGCACAAGGTGCCACGGGAATGGCGAGGAGGGGCAACCGCGGCCGCAGGACCAGCTGTTCGCCTTTGAGGTGCTGCAGACGCCACAGGAGAGAGCGCGCCACGCGGCTCCCCCCCACACCCCGCGGCGCGGAGGGGGCGTCGGGGTCGCTCCCGTCGATCCGGTTCGCTAGGGATCCCGGCGGGTCCGACCTCCTCCTCCTCCTCCTCCTTCTCCTCCTCCACCTCCTCGGGGGCGGCCAAGAGGGGGGTGATGACTAGGGGGGGAGGATATCCTGTTGTGGGGCATGAGATCTCTCCAGATTTCATGGCGCCTCTTCTTCTTCTTCTTCCTCTTCTTCTTCTTCTTCTTCTTCTTCTTTCACTATGTCCTTGGCCCCCCCTGGGCCGCGCACAAGCATCTGGCCATGATTTGCGCACCCCCTTCTTGGAGGCCCCCTCCTGGCCGCCGCCGAATCTCCTTTTCCACCTCCTCCTCCTCCTCCTCCTGCTCCTCCTCCTCCTCCTTCCCCTCCTCCTCCTCCTCCTCACCCTCCCCCTCCTCCTGCTCTTCCCCCTTCTACAACTACTCAATATGAATTACTCTCTCTCCCCTTCCCCTGATGACGTCTTTTGCGTATTGGCCCCCCCCGCCCGCGCACTATTTTTTTTACCCACACGATTCCCCGGAGTTGGGTTTTCGCCTGCGTTTTTTTTTCAAAACAAAAATGCTGCTCTCGCTGAGGCGCCGGCCTCATTTCTGCTCCCGAATCGTTCCGAATCGTGCTCCCGCTGCAGCGTGGGCTCATTTTCGGATCGGTGTTTGGCCTCCGTCGTTCAGGATGGCGTTCTCGCCCCAGCGCGGGCCTCTTTCTCGCGCGCCCATCCGCCCGCCACCACCGCGCCGCACCACGCCCCGCCCCGCCGCACGCACACCCACCGCCACTTCCACCCACCAACGCACGCACGCGCGCACGCGCACCACCACCGCGCACCGCCACCACCACCGCACTACCCCACCCACCACCACCACGCTACACCGCGTCACACCACATCACACGCGCGCACACACAGACACACACGCACGCACGCACGCACGCACGCACGCACGCACGCACGCACACACACACACACACACACACACACACACGCACACACACACACACACACAGCACACACACAGACACACACACACACACACACCACCACCACCGCCACCACCACCACCGCCATCACGCACGTACGCACCTGGCCCACCACCAAACCACCAAGACGCCACACACGTCACACCACAGCACACGCGCACACACGCACACACACATACACACCACCACCACAACAACCACAACCACGCACAAACGCACGCACGCACGCGCACCACCACCCACTACGCACACGCGCGCGGAGCCACAGGTCCGCTACGACACGCGTCCGCGGATAGAGAAAATCAGCGCCATGGTAAGGGATGGGAGGGAGGGGTAGGATGTCAGATGTTGACGCGAGCGCACCTAACTTGCCTCCTCCCCCTCCTCGTCCTCCTCCTCCTCCTCCTCCTCCCTCTCCCCCTCCTCCTCCTCCTCCTGTGACCCAATGTTCGCACGGCCGCTGCATATTGTGCATCCTGGCGCGGTCAGGTCCGGATTTCGATTCGGGCGCCGCGCTGGGGCGGCCGGGCAGGGTGCCGGGCGACTTTTCCGAGTCGACGTGGTTTTCGCCTCGTGGCGGACGCAGATGGTCGGGTTGACCAAGAAGGGGGTCCAGCGACAAGGGGGTGGTGCAATATATTTGGTGCAATAGATTTGTGGGTTGCAATACGTCTGGGGCGTTCAATACATTCTGGGGCGCAGATGTATTGCTGGATTTTCGCGTGCAATGCATTACTTGCAATACAATGCAATACGATTCTCCGGCGCAATGCATTTGCAATACAATTGCCCCAAATCTATTGCACCGCCCCCTTTCAGCTGGACCCCGTTTGGGTCACCCACAGAGGGGGCGATTCGGAGAGGGGGGGGCGTAAATGCTGCTGCATGCAGCTGGTTCCCTCCTCCTCCTCCTCCTCCTCCTTCTTCCCTCCTTCCTCCTCCTCCTCCTCCTCCTCCTCCTCCCCCTCCGCCTTCGCCTCCTCCTCCTCCTCCTCCCCCCCCTCCTCCTCCTCCTCCTCCTCCTCCTCCCCCTCCTCCTTCGCCTTCTCCTCCTCCTCCTCCTCCTCCTCCTCCTCCTCCTCCTCCTCCCAGGCGCCGCGCACTTCCCTCTGTTCGTGGCCGCTCCCCGCGAGGTGCCCGGGACGTGTGCCGCGTGCAGCCGAGTGCGGTGCTGCCGCCTCCTGGCCATGCCCTTCCCCCCAGTGGCGTCCGCCTCGGGTCCCGGCCTGCCCGTCGCCGCTCCGTCCGCGTCGTCCGGGCTTCGAGGGCCTCGCGCTGCCAGGCTCAAGTGGGGCCTGTCCCTCTGCAGGAGGAAGATTCGAATCTAGTCAAAACATACTCCAGATTTCGTAATAAAGGGAGGGGGGTCTCATTTCGGGGGGGGGGTCTCTTCCAGGCTATCTTGGAGGGCCTGGGGGGTCTGGGGACGATGTTTTGGAGGGTTCTCCCACGGGGGAGGTCTGAACTAGCTTGTCTTGGAGGGTCCAGACCCCCTCCCTTGTATTACCAAATCTGGAGTATTCGAATCTAGGCAAAACGTAGTCTTGGAACTGCTGTCAAACCCGCATAGCAAGGATGGGCAACCTTCCCAAGGGCACCCTCGCATCCTCGCCTCCTCGGTCCATCCTTGGCCACTTTCGCTGGCCGCACCCCGCTCGAGAAGCTTCGAGATGGGCTTCCAAGGCCCTTGCATCCTTACCGCGCATCCTTACTATACGGGTTGACTGCACGTTCTTCTAACATCCGCCTGTAAGAGGGCGGGCCCGACATGACTCCAGGTTTGTGGTCATGTATTGCTGCTGTTGGTGCTGTATGCGCTTGTAGTTGTGCTAGTTCCAGAAGCCCCGAGCATCCACAACATTTGAACGCGCGAAGATCTCTCGGGGAAAACGCGGCCAAGCAAGGCAATCTACATGCACACTTGGAGTCGATTGGAACCAAGGCTTGTGCTGTTCAAGGCGAAGCGATGTCGTGCAGCTTTAAATGCTGCCGCTTATATGGAAGGCTTCGAAATCGAAATCTGACGCCAGGCGCATATTCTTAAGCTTACGATGCGCACTTTGTAGACAGGAAATGGCCACGCCAACTGTATGTCTCTCCCGTCTTCAACTCCACTCTCTAATCTCAACGCTCCTAGCTTCTACTCTCCTATTCTCTGTCTGGCATCCTCGCGTACAGCCCGCATTCTCTCATCCTCATCATCGACGCTCTACATTCGAACCGCTGCGGTCTGCACTTTCCAGCTGAAAGGGGGGGGCTCGGGTAGACTTACACTGCCCGTTGGTGAATGGCTGAATGTAGGTTTTGCGCATTGGTGATTCTTCGTGCTTCCGTTGTCCCTATGATGCCCACCCCGCGCCCCACCCGCAGCCCGCCGCGAAACCTGCCCGCGGCAACCGCACGAGGCTCAATGGGGAGGCTGATCAAACATGTCATCAGCTGACGTCAGGTTTGAGATGACGCTCTTGAGTTTAAAAGCGTGAAGATCGGAGAAGATGGCGCAAAGTGCCGCGCAGGCGGCGGAGAAGAGAACGAACATCTGCTTTCCGACAGGGCCATCATGCCCATCGTCTCTGGCGTCTTGCGTTTTCTTGGTCGCATGCTTGAGGGAATCGAGAAGCCCCGATAGCTGTCCAGATCACCGTGCGAAAGTCAAACTGTGGGATGATGGCCAGGAGGAGGAGCTGAACGCGCAGGAGGTTGGAGCAGACCCTCGAGGCGAAGTTGCTATCAGGCAGATTGGGTGGCCAGAACGACCCGCATGCGGCAACATGCGATCCCACGCTCGTTCGTTCGCTCTCTCGCCTGCTCTCTCGCTCGCTCGCGCGCTCCGCCCCTCGCGTAGGGCGGCGGAGGAGGCGAGGCCAACCCCACGCCACCACGAGGGGGGCCCACGCGCCCCCCCCCCCCCCGAGCCCGGGGCTTTGGGGGGCGGACGTCTCGAGCGGGGAGCCCAGACCCCCTCGAGTCATGAAAAAGTCACGACGCGAGGTTTTTCGCTCTTTTCGGCTTCTGGGGGCCCTTACCGGCCCTCAGGACCGTCAGAAAACGACTCAGGATGAAAAGCCGGTCCCGGGGAATAGGTCTGGACCTCTGGGGGTCGCGTCATGAAAAAATCATGACGTCGGGGGTCTGGGAGGGCGGGCCACCCCCTCGGCAGGGCCTCCCCCCAGATCCCCCTGGGCTCCTCGCGCGGGTGCCCGGTGGTGCTCGCAGTCGAATGACCAAGCCACCGGCAGCGAGGGCAACGATGCCGATGCCAACGATGACGATTTTGGTGGCAACAACAACAACAACGACAACGACAACGACAACAACAACAACAACAACAACAACAACAACAACCATTTTAAGGCTGTACGCTCTTACTTGCCCGCGAGTCATTCAACACGTATACCCTACACCCTCGATGCCCGCCCTCTTCGTCTTCGATCACACCCCTTTCGGGGGGATTATTTCTCTTTGCTGGGGCCGGCGGGCTTAGACGTACGGGCAAACCGGAACGGGCGGACAATCCTTCGGGGGCGTACATCTCTCTGCCCGCCATTGGAATTGGCGCGGGCCCTGCAAGAGGAGGAGGGGAAGAACGAGGGAGAGTGGGAGGAAGGGGAGGGGGAAGGACGAAGGAAGAGGGAAGATACCACGTTGTGAAGGCGTCCTTGCGTGGTTCCTGAGCGCCGAAACGCAATTCCAGAATAATTTGTGAGGACGTCGCACGCGAGAGCGCAGTCCTGAGTACATTGTGAGGAAATCTCAGGCGGAAGCGGGGGCCCTGACTAAGTTGCGAGGAAGTCTCAAGCGGGAGCGCCGTTCCTGAGCACATTGCACGGAAGTCTCAGGCGGGAGCGGGGGTCCTCACTAAATTCCGAGGAAGTCTCAGGCGGGAGCGCCGTTCCTGAGTCAATTGCGCGGAAATGTCAGGCAGGAGCGGGGGTCCTGAGTATAATTCGAAGAAGTCTCAGGCGGGAGCGCCGTTCCCACGTAAATTGCACGGAAGCTTCAGGCGGGAGCGAGGGTCTTGATTACATTGCGAGGAAGTCTCAGACGGGAGCGCCTTTCCTGAGTAAATTGCGCGGAAGTCCTAGGCGGGAACGGGGGTCCTGAGTAAAAATCGAGGAAGTCTCAGGCGGGAACCGTTGTTGTCGTAGCCCGGGGGGCAGGGGCACAGTTTGAGCAGGAAGACTTTCCTTGACAAAAAACAAGGTGCGAGCCCCGGGGGTGGCACTTCAATCGACAAAAATCAATGTGCACGGGTGGGGGGGATCAACAATAATTATTCTTCAAGCGTGAGGGTTCAACAACAACAACAACAACAACAACAGCAACAGCAACGATAAGGATGACGACGATAACGAGCTGGGGGCGCGTGCGGGTCCCACTGTGTTCTCTCGATGTGCCCGAACGTCCCCCCGCCGGAGACTGGCAGGCCCAGCGGCGACTCCGGGGTCAGGCTCAGGTGGCCTTGCGGGCAGTCGGGTGCCACTCGGGGCGGCTCCGGGGCAGGCTGAGGTGGCATGGTGGGCAGTCGCGGGTGGCGCTCTTCCCACGTGTACCTCTCTCGCTCGCCGTGGGCGCCCCCCCTCGGGGCGGCCAGGAGGAGAGGAGGAGGAGGAGGAGGAGGAGGAGGAGGAGGAGGAGGAGGAGGAGGAGGAGGAGGAGGAGGAGGAGGAGGAGGAGGGGAGGAGGAGGAGGAGGAGGAGAGGAGGGAGGGAGGAGGAGGAAGGAGGAGGAGGAGGAGGAGGAGGAGAGGAAGGAGGAGGAGGAGGAGGAGGAGGAGGAGGAGGAGGAGGAGGAGGAGGAGGAGGAGGAGGAGGGGGGGGAGGAGGAGGAGGAGGAGGAGGAGGAGGAGGAGGAGGAGGAGGAGGAGGAGAGGAGGCGGAGGAGGAGGAGGAGGAGGAGGACGCGCCCAGGAGCTGGTCCAGTACCAGGAGCGCCACGCCCCTTCGAGGCCATGGGCGGCGCCGCCCGGTGGGGCGTGCAGTGGGGCGCCGCTCCGCCTGGGAGGGGCCGGGGGCGGGCGGCGGGGGGGGGGGAGGAGAAACCGTGGCTTGCGCGTCCTCCAAGGTGTGAACGGGCCGCATGTTGGCGGGCCGCGGGGTGGTTGGGGCGCGCGGCTTTGACGCGCGTTTCCGCTGGCATGAATGCATGAGTGGCCCGGAGGGGAGGCGGATGGAGGCGAGACGAGAGGAGTGGGGGGGAGGATGGAGACGAGACGAAGGGGAGGGCGGAGTGATCGGGGGAGGAGGAGGAGGAGGGCGGAGGAAGCCGGAGAGGGGGAGGGAGGAGGGAGGCGAGACGAGTGGGGACGGGGATGGGGAAGATGAGAGGTAGGGGGAGGAGGAGGGGAGGGCCGACAGCACGCAAGAGAGATCCGGAGAGGAGGGAGGAGGGAGATGATATGATAAGGGGGAATGAGGACGGGGGAGATGAGATGTAGAGCGATGGTGACATGAGGTGGGATTAAGGTGGGGGATATGAGGTATACAGGGAAGCGGGAAAAGGGTCGACTGCGCGTAAGAGAGATCCAGAGAGAAGTATGAGGGCGAAGAGATGAACGGGGACGAGGACTGGGAAGATGAGATGAGGGGGGATGACGGGGAGTGTCGACTGCACGCAATAGTGATTCAGAGAAGAGAAGGAGGTGGAGGAGAAGGATGAGTGAGATGAGTGAGATGAAAGGGGGGATTAGCATCGGGGAAATGAGATGTGGAAGGGAGCCGGGGGAGGGTCGAGAGCACGTCAAAGGGACCCAGAGAGGAGGAAGTGATGATGAGATGATGTGAGAAGAGATGTAGAGGGAAGCGCCTGGAGGAGGAAGAGATGATGAGTTGAGGAGGGAGGCGGGGGGGTGTCACTGGCATCTAAGAGTGACCCGAAGAGGAGAAATAGGAGGCGGATACGATTAGGCACGATGAGGATGGGGGAGGTGAGATGTAGAGGGAGGTGAGTGTCGACAGCGCGTACAAGGAGTGATCTTGAGGGGAGGGTGGCGATGATTTGAGGGGTTATGATGATCGGGGATATGAGATGTAGCGGGAGGCGGGGAGGGTCGAGTGCAGGTAAGAGAGACCCGGAGAGGAGGACGAGGAGGGGGACGAGGAGGAAGAGGGAGAGACGAGATGCAGAGGCAGGCGGGAGAGGGTCGCCTGCACGCAAGAGCGATTTGGAGAGGAGGAGAAGGAATGGGGGGCTGAGGATCGGGGATCTGAGATGCAGAGGGAGGGGGAGTGGCGGGGTCGCCTGCGCGTGACAGGTATCCGGAGAAGAGGGGGACGGAGTTGGCATGAGGGGGGGATAGGGTCGCAGGGGAAGGTAAGGTCGATCGCACGTGAGATTGATCCGGGGAGGAGGAGGAGGAGGAGGAGGAGGAGGAGGAGGAGGAGGAGGATGGCGATGAGGTGAGGGGGGGGGGGATGAGGGAGGTGAAATGTAGAGGGAGGAAGGAGGGGTAGCAGCGACTGCGCGCAAGAGTGATCCAGAGAGAAGGCGGAGGGAGGTGAGATGAGGGGGGATGAGGACGGGGGAGACGAGATGTAGGTTGAGGCGGGGGAGGGTCGATTGCAGGTAAGAGTGGCCCGGAGAAGAGGACGAGGAGGAGGACGAGGAGGAGGAGGAAGGAAGGAGGAGGAGGAGGAGGAGGGAGGAGGGAGGAGGAGGAGGAGGGGGAGAGACGAGATGCAGAGGCAGGCGAGACAGGGTCGCCTGCACGCAAGATTGACTTGGAGAGGAGGAGGAGGACGGAAGGGGCGGGCTGAGGATCGGGGGCCTGAGATGCAGACGGGGGAGGGGGGGAGCGGGGTCGCCTGCGCGTGACAGGTATCCAGAGAGGAAGGGGAAGGGAGTTGGCATGAGGGGGGGATAGGGTCGCGGGGGAGGGGAAGGTCGATCGCGCGTAAGGTTGATCCGGAGACGGAGAGGAAGAGGAGGAGGAGGAAGAGTGGGTGAAGTGTCTACTGCGCGCAAGAGTGGCCCATGGAAGAGGAGGAGGAGGAGGAGGAGGAGGAGGAGGAGGAGGAGGAGGGGAGGAGGAGGAGGAGGAGGAGGAGGAGGAGGGAGGAGGGGGTCAACATGAGGTATGCGGAAGATGAGGTACATGAGGCGGCGGACTGCGCGCAAGCGTGACCCCGAGCGGAAGATGAGGAAGGTCAGATGGGGAGGTGAGGATAGGGGAGATGCGATGTACAGGCGGGGGGGAGAGTGTCTTTACGCGCAAGTGTGCCCTGGAGAGGAGGATGGGGGTTGTGATATGAGGGGGTGAGGATGGGGGATATGACATGTAGATGGAGGATTAGGAGGGCCGGATGCACGTAGGAGTGAACCGAAAAAGAGGAAGAGGGATATGAGATGAGGCAGGATTGGGATGTGGGGGTGATCAGATTAGATGGAGGCGGGTGGGTGTGGATTGTACGAATGAGTGGCCCGAAGAGGAGGACAGAATGAGATGAAGGGTCGTGAGTATTGGGGCGATGAGTTTTGGAGTGACGCCTGCACGCAAGAGTGACGTGGAGAGGAGGAGGAGAACGGATATGCGATGGAGGCGAGAGAGGTGAGATGACAGAGGATGAGGATGGACATTATGAGGTGTAGATGGTCTACTGCGCGCAAGAGGGAGATGGACAATGAGGTGTAGAGGATGGAAACTATGAGGATCAAAAGTATTAGACTTAGAGGGAAGCGGGGGAGTTCGTCTGCGCGTAACACTGGCCCAGAAAGAAGGAGGATGGAGGTGAGATGAGGGAGGGATGAGGAGGGGGAATCTGATTCGTTGGCTGACGCTGCACCGCCGACCCCTTGGGGCGGCAGCAAGAGTGAAAAACGGAGTTAGCGGAACGCGCGTGATCGCTGGGCAATCTTGAGGTCCCGGCCTGCCGTACGTAGCGTGTGGGGGGTTCAAGGGGAGGCCTTTCAGAAGATTGTTTTGAAGTCTTGGGGCTTTCACGGGGCCTGTCCCAGGCCTCCCTTTCCACCCCGTGGATAGGCTCGGGGATCGTTGACACCCAGCTGGGGGTGCGTCCGGCCAGGAGTTCGAGAGTGGACCCAGCTGTGTCGACGAGAAGCTTCCTGAAGGCCCAGAGGGGGCGGAGACCGCCCAAGAACTAGGAGTCTCACGCCTGAGCCTCGATCCACCCCGTGTTCCTTCCTTTGCGAAGGGGTGGCACAGACCAGGGCGGTCGATCCTCATCCCGGACCCCCCGTTGTGGTCCTGGGCACCGAAAGCGGTTCCTGGAGGCTGAATTCGAGGAGATGCCTCGGGTGGTGGAAGACTACGAAAATCTGCAAGACATCGGCGGCGACGACGACATCATTTTTTTTGTTCATCTTCTTCCTCCTCTTCCTCCTCCGCGTCCTTCTCCTCTCCTTCTGCTTCTCGATCGAGGTGGATGCCCGCGACAATTCCGGCCGCCTTTCCAGAGATTTGTGTTTGAACAGCTTTTGTTTTTGATAGGTTTCGGTCTCCGGGGGCCGCTGCTGGGCCCCAGAACTTTCAGAGCCAGACGGACCTGGGGCGAGAAATTTCATCAGCGGACCCAGGGAGAGGTTCGGGGAACGAACTTGCGCGGAGTGGCCCGCCGGACTCGGGAGGTCCGTTGTGGTTGGGGGGGGTCCGGGCCCTTCCCCCGTCGCCGCGGCTGGGTGCATCTGGGAAAACGATTGCGACTGGATTCCAGGAAGGGTCTGGGGAGGGCCACGGTAAGCGATTTCTTCGTGGGGAAAGGGGAAAAACTTTGCCGCGTAGTCTTAGTCTTTTCAGTTTTTTTTGGTTTTCGCCGTCAAAGGGCCGCCGCCGGGCCCTGGGGTCATTCGGGGGCATTGGATCCCCGTCAAGGCCTCCTGAGTGCATTGAGGCGCCTTTTCATGTTGGCTCGGGGCGAAGTGCTCGAATTCTTCATTCGGGTTTCCCTTCTTACCCTCCTCTTAGGGCCGTCCTGGGGCTCTCCCTCGTGGTCTCGGGGGCCTCGTTGGGGCCCGTTTGTGCCGTCTGGGAGCTTCCTTGGGGGCATGCGGGGGCTTGTGGGTTGATGTTGGGGGCTGTTTGGGCTGCTGTGGGATTCGCGGAAGCTCAAGAAGCGAATGTGTTAAAATTAGACGTTTCCCTTTGGGAAGGGGCTGAGGTTTCGTTCTGCCGGGCCTCTTGGGACGCGTCCTGGTGGCGTGTTGGGGCGTCTAGGGGGCCTCAGGGGTCAGCTGGAGGCAATGGCGATCTCCTCACGAGTCGTAGCTCGCGCTCTGGAGCCGTCGGGGGAGCCTTGTGGGACCCATTTGGGGATTTGTTTGGGGCCATCTTGGGGCCGTCCTGTGTCGGTTTGGTGGCTTCTGTGGCCTCTTGGCGCTCATTTGGGCTGTCTCAGATTCTTGGGTCGCGTCGTATCGTGTCGATCTGGAAGGCTTCCCCGGCTGTTGCGGGCCTCGTGAAAACCGACGAGGCCAACGTGCTAGAAAGCTGTGTTGTCCATGGACAATGAAACGCTCTTTGCTTCTTGAAAACCTCTTGGGACGTCCCTGGGTGGTTTCTTGGGGCGTCTTGGAAGCCTGTAGGACCTGCGGGAGGCAATTTGGAGCGTATTGGAGCGATCTCTCGACGACTCGTCACCCTCGTTGGCCGTCCAGGGGGCCTTTGGGGATGGGGACCTCTTGGCGCATTCTGGGGCCCCCTTGAGGCCGTCCTGCGGCTCTCCTGGGCCGTTGCGATTGTTTCTGGGGCCTTCGCGGGGACCTCGGTGCCCGCCTTGGAGCCTTTTTGGGGGCCTTTTGGGTTATCTGGGGTCGCTACTGGAGGCATCTTGGACCGTTGCGGGCCTCGTGAAAGACCTAGAGGCGAGTTGTTTTTTACATATATGTTTTGTCCGGAGGGAATGGGACGATTGTTGTTTCCAGAGGGCATCTTGGTGGCTTCTTGGGGCGTCTTGGGGGCTCCTGGGGCCGTCTGGGGGCAATCCTCAGCGTTGTGGAACGATCTCTCGTCGACTCGTAGCTCTCTTGGAGCGTTCCAGGAGCTTTGTGGATCTTTTTGGCTCGTTTTGGGTCCCCTTAAGGTTCCAAGTGCGGCCGGCACCTTCACCCCCCACCCACCCACACTCCAAACCGTCCGACCGGGCTCCCGGGGGAGGCGTTTGGGGAGGGGGAAGCATCTCACACGCCGTGGCCCCAGGGGGTCGGCGGACCTCGGGACCCGAGTCCAAGCGCAACCGCCTGGTGTGAACGAAATTGTAACGCTTGGAGCTTAGGGGAGAAGCAGGAGGAGGACTAGGGCATGGACGCAAACATGTCCGCAGCTTCAAGGTTTCGAGGAGGAGGAGGAGGAGGAGGAGGAGGAAGAGGAGGGGGGAGGAGCTATGCTTATATCTCAGGGGATGGTCTGTGCATCGGCGTGCAGGGGGCCCCCAGGGCCGTCCAGAGGCAATGTCGGGCCTCCTGGAGCGATCTCTTCACGAGTCGTCCGTCCTGCGGCTCTCCAGGGCCGTTGCTATGGTTTCTGGGGCCTTCGTGGGGCGCCCGGAGGCCGTCTTGGAACCCTCTTGAAAGCCTTTGGGGCTGTAGGGGGTCGACGTTGGATGCTTTTTGGGGCCGCTGCAGGCCTCGTGGAAGTCCAAGAGGCGAATGTTATGAAAATGTATGTTTTGCTTGTGGAGGCCTCCGTGGGGCGCCTCGTAATAGTTTTTGTCAAACGTCTCAGGGGCCAATGGGGAATCGTCTGCATGCAAGCTGGGACGGTTTGGGCCGAATCGTCCCCCTCGCGGGCCGTCCAGAAGGCCTCTGGGGACCCGCTTGGCCCGTTGTGGGGCTCTGGTGGGACCGTCCTGCGACTGTCCTGGGCCCGTTGCTGTGGTTTCTGAGGCCTTCGTGGTGCGCACGGCTCCGTCGTGGAGCCTTTTTTGAAAGCCTCTTGGGGTGTCGGGGGTCGCACCTGAAGGTTGAATGGGCCTTTGTAGGGCTCGCGGAAGCCCAAGAGGCGAATGTATTGACAATGTATGTTTCTCCTCCATGGATGGGACGATTTTTGCTTTGGCGGGCCCTCTTGGAGCGCCTCGTGGGTGCGTTTTCAAACGTTTTGGTGGCCTATTAAGCCGTCTGGAAGCAATTTTGGGCGGTTTGGACCGAATCGTCCCCCGCGTGGGCCGTCTGAGCAGCCTTTGGGGGCCCTGTTGGCCCGTCCGTTTGGGAGCCCCCTTGGCACCGTCCTGCGGCTCTCCCGGTCCGTTGCTATAGGTTCTGGGGCCTTCGTTGATCGCCTGGAAGCCGTCGTGGAGCCTTTTTGGGAGCCTCTTGGGCTGTGGAGGGTCGATCTCAGAGGCTTTTTGGGCTGTTTTGGGCCGCGTGGAAGCCCAAAAGGCGAATGTGCTGTAAATGTACGTTTGACCCGGGGAATGGGACGGTTGGCTTTTGCTTCTGGAGGGCCTTCGTGGGGCGCCTCGTAGTACGTTTTCAAGAGTCTTGGGGACTGATGGGGCCTTCTGGAGGCAATCTTCGGCATTCTGAAACGATCTTTTGTCGACTCGCAGCTCTCTTGGACCGTTCTGGGACCCTTTGGAATCTGTTTGGCCTGCTTTGGGGCCTCCTGAGGCTCCAAAACAGGCCGGACCGGGCCCCCGGGGGAGGGGGATGGTTGGGGCCGGACCGGGCCCCCGGGGGAGGGGTTTGATTGGAGCGGGACCGGGCCCCCCGGGGGAGGGTTTGGTTGGGGAGGAAGGGGAAGAGGGAAATGAGATGCGGGGGAATGGAAAAGGGGGAGATGGGACGAAAAGGGAGAAGGGGGAGGGTCGATTGTATGTAAAAATGGCCAGTGGAGGAGGAGTAGGTAGATGAGATGAAGGGGGGATGGGACGGGGAAGATGAGATGAAGATGGAGAAGAGGGAGGGAAGAGGAGAACGAGGGAGGACCCTGAGACCTGAGCGTTGCATGTTATATCGAGCACTTTCGCCCAGTTTCTTCGAGCGCTGGCGCCCTCGCAGATCGATCCTTCTTTGGACACGCGACATGCTGCAGAAAGAGGGTGTCGAGTGCTCCGGTCGTGATTTCATAAGATGCTGTATGGATTCGCGCCCTTGGATCTCATGGGAGGATGGGCGGGGGGAGGAGGATGGTTCAATGAGGACGACGAGGAAGAGTAGGGATAGAGAGACAGGTATGAGGCCGGGAGGAGAGATGAGGATGGGCGCGAGAGGCGGAGGAGGCAAGGGAGGAATGTGAGGGAGAGGAGGAGGAGGGGGGGCGGGGAAGGCGGGGGATGGAGGCGGAGCAGGAGGAGCGAGGGAGGCGGGAGCAAAGGGGGGAACGCAGGCAGAGCACCTCGGACGTGGAGCATCTCCAGGTTCCCCGGGGGCTCCTGCGCGCCACCGCCGGGCGCCCCGCGCTGGGGCGGCCTTTTCCGGTGAGCTGGGGCGGCGTCGCCCACGGCGAGGTGTGGGAATCGGTTCGTGAGGAGGACGGGTGGAGGGGGGGGGGAAGGGAGGGGGGGGAAGGGGGGAGGGGGATGCCAAGGGAGGATAGAGGGAGGGAGGGATGGAGGAGGGAGGGGGAGAGGAATGGGGGCAGCGAGAGGGGAAGGGAGGGAGGAAGGGGGAAGGGAGGGCGAGGAAGGAACGGGGGATGCCAGGAGAGGAGGAGGGGGGTGGGGGGGGGCGGGCGGGGCAGTGATGGCGAGGCTGCGGAGGCGAGGGATGGCAGTGCAGAGCCGAGGCGACGCAGGAGCAAGTCGCGGCCGCTCCTGCGCGAGTCCTCCCCTCCTCCTCCTCCTTCTCCTCCTTCCTCCTCTCCTCCTCCTCCTCCTCCTCTCCTCCTCCTCCTCCTCCTCCTCCTCCTCCTCCTCCCCCTCCCGCTCCCCCTCCTCCTCCTCCTCCTCCTCCTCCTCCTCTCCTCCTCCTCCTCCTCCTCCTCCTCCTCCTCATCCCCCTCCTGCTTCTCCCCCTCCTCTTCCTCCCCCTCCTTCTCCTCCTTTCCTCCCCCTCCCCACTCCTCCCCTCCTCCTCCTCCTCCTCCCTCATCCTCCTCCTCCTCCTCCTCCTCCTCCTCCCTCCTCCTCCTCCTCCTCTCCTCCCTCCTCCTCCTCCTCCTCCCCTCCTCCTCCTCCTCCTCCTCCCCCTCGTCTTCTCCTCCTCCTCCTCCTCCTCCTCCTCCTCTCTCCTCCTCCTCCTCCTCCTCCTCCTCCTCCTCCTCCTCCTCCCCTCCTCCTTCTCCTCCTCCTCCTCCTCCTCTCCCCGCAGGCCGGTGTCCGCGTCCTCCTCCAGGAGGAGTGCGTCGCGCCCGCCGACGCCAGACGAGGCCCCCGCCGGGGAGCTCTCGGCGGCACGCAGGGGGGGCGGGGGCCTCCGAGAGGGCAGTAGCCGCCTGGGCGGGGGCCCAGGCGCCCGAGAGGGCTGCCCCAGAGGAGGTTAGGCGATCAGGAGGAGGAGGAGGAGGGAGAAGGAGGAGGAGGAGGAGGATGGAGGAGGAGGAGGAGGAGGAGGAGAGGAGGAGGAGGAGGAGGAGGGAGGAGGAGGAGGAGGAGGAGGAGGAGGAGGTGGAGGAGGAGGAGGAGGAGGAGGGAGGAGGAGGAGGAGGACAAAGAGGGAGGAGGAGGAGGAGGGGAGGAGGGGATGGGGAGGAGGAGGAGGAGGAGGAGGAGGAGGAGGAGGAGGAGAAGGAGGAGGAGGAGGAGGAGGAGAGGAGGAGGAGGAGGAGGAGGAGGGGGAGGAGGAGGAGGAGGAGGAGGAGAAGGGGGGAGGAGGAGGACAAAGAGGGGAAGGAAGAGGTTGACATCGACGTTGACGACGATGATGGTGATGACGACGACGACGACGAAGACATGGTCTGGGACGACGGAGAGGAGGGGGAGGCTGACGACGGCGAAGATGAGGACAAGGATCAGGCGATCGCAAACATGGATCAAGGGGGCGTGGCTTAGCGACGGGTCCCGCTTCCATGGGAGATCGCGGATGCCCGCCGCCGGACGGGGCGGCACCGGCTGCTTCTTGGGGGAGGACGCCTCCCCCGACCCATGGATCTGGCGACCGCGCGCCCAATCCATGGGTCGCTAATCCATGCCTGCGTGTCCCCGAGCAGGGGGGCTTCGATCGGTTGGGGCTGGTCAGGAACGACAGGAGACACGAGAGTACGCACTGCGCGGGCGTTCGTCGTGCGTGGCCGGCCTCGCGGATCGAGGGGCCGTGTTCGTGTACATGGTCGGGCGCGTGCGTCTTTTTGTGGGTTCCCTAGCTGGGACGAGCATGGACCCGCTCCAGAGCGTTCCGCAAAGCTCTCAGAGCGTACTGGAACGCTCCTGAGCAGGCCGCGGCGCCCGACCACATCCCCCGGAGCCGTCGGAGCTCGGAGCGTTTCGATTTATCCCTACTCCAGATTTCGTAATAGAGGGAGGGGGGTCTCCTTTCGGGAGGGGGGTCTCTTCCAGGCTATCTTGGAGGGCCTGGGGGGTCTGGGGACGATGTTTTGGAGGGTTCTCCCACGGAGGAGGTCTGAAATGGCTTGTCTTGGAGGGTCCAGACCCCTCCCTTTTATTACGAAATCTGGAGTACCCGATTCTATCAGCCTCGTCCTGGTTTCGGCTTTTTCTCGACGGAGCCCCCGGCCTTCTTGGAAAACAAAACAAACAAAAAAACGCCTTCTGAGATGGCCGCGCTCCTCGCCCCCCCGCCCCCCTCGCGCGCCGCCACGCGCGCGCTCGCCGCCAAGGAACGGCGGGCCCAGGAGGGAGGAGGTAGGAGGAGGAGGGAGGAGGGAGGAGGAGGAGGGGGAGGAATGAGGGAGGAGGGAAGAGGGAGGAGGGAGGAGAAGGAGGGTAAGGGGATGGAACGTCGAGATTCGATGTGTTGTACGCATCTTCTGTCGGCCTTCCTGGGCCTCCGGCGAGACTCCTCGTCTCCACGGCCGCTCCAGGCGGAGGATGCCAGACGATGCGGAGGGAGGACCTCGAACACCTTGGGCCTCCTCATCCCTCCTCCTCCTCCCTCCCTCCCCCTCCCTCCTCCTCCCTACTCCTCCCTCCTCCTCCCTCATCCTCCCTCATCCTCCCTCATCCTCGCTCCTCCTCCCTCCTCCTCCTCCCTCCTCCTCCCTCCTCCTCCCTCCTCCTCCCTACTCCTCCCTACTCCTCCCTCCTCCTCGCAGCCTCGCTTTTCGATTTGTTTGTGGTTCGCTTACGTTGGGCTTCTGAGGGGCTGATCGTCCGTCGCCACCACTTGATCCGCCTCGAGTCTCTGGTTAAGACGCACTCCAGAAAAGTTTCAGTGCCTCTAGCGTCTTGAGCAATTCAGGACGGATGTGCTTCTCAGGTGTCGCAGTTCTCGGTCCCTGGGCCGTTCAGGGTGCGATGTTGGGCGAACTCGCAGGCTCCAGAAAAGCCGTCGAGCGGTCTTGGTCCCCATGTCTTGAAGCCGTCGAGCTACGGGATGTTTGCGAGATGCCCTTCTCACCCCTTCACTCGGTCATCCCTCTCTTCACCACATGATAATGCATGAAAGATGTGATGATTGAAGATGATGATGATGATGATGATGATGATGATGATGATGATGATGATGATGATGATGATGCTGATGATGATGACACGGGATGATGACGATGATGATGATGATGATGATGATGGTGATGTTGATGATGATGAAATGGTGTGTATGATGATGATGATGATGACGATGATGATGCTATGATATGATAAAATGATGGTCATGATGATGATGATGATGATGATGATGATGATGATGGCGCCAGTGATGATGACGATCATGATTAGGATGATAATCATATTGCATGATTGTGACGAATGTTGCTAGATTGGTGAGTGTGGTGATGATCAAAATATGATGATGATAATGATGATGATGATCATGATCATGATCATGATCATGATGATGATGGTGTTCATGCTGATGATGATGTTGATGATGGTGATGGTGATGGTGATGCTGATGATCATGATCATCATGATCATGATCATGATGATGATGGTGTTCATGATGATGATGTTGATGATGATGATGGTGAGGATAATGATGATGATGGTGCTGAGGATGATAATGATGTTGATGATGATCAGAATATGATGATGATGATGATGATGATGCTGATGATGATGATGATGATGATGATGCTGATGATGATGATGATGATGATCATGATCATGATCATGATCATGATTATGATGATGGTGTTCATGATGATGTTGATGATGATGATGATGCTGATGCTGATGCTGATGCTGATGCTGATGCTGATGCTGATGATGCTGATGATGATAATGATGATGGTTATGACGACGATGACGAGCGTCTGGCTGGTTTCAGCAGTCCTAAGGGGGGCGCCAGGGGGTATTGCACGGCCTCCGTTCGCGCCCAGATTGCGGGGATGTCTTAGGCGGTTTGCGCGTTTCCTGACTCAACATCCTTAGCTTTCGGAGAAGGTGTTGAGGATGTCTCGGGCGAGGAGCCTCAGAAGGGGGGCGCCGCCAGGGGTATTGCACAGCCACCGTTCGCGCCCAGATTGCGGGGATGTCTCAGGCGGTCTGTACGTTGCCTGACTCAACATCCTCCGTTTTCGGAGTAGATTTTGAGGATGTCTTGTGCGAGGCGCTGGCCTTCGTACTCCTAGGGGCCTGGGCTGCGAGGAGGTCTCGAGCGGTTTGCCTGTTTTGGAAGCCCGACTCGTGTGCGTTCAGAGCAAGTTCTGAAGACAATTTCTGAGTATGTCTCGAGCGAGGCGCTGGTTTTCGCACTCCTAAGGGGGGGGGGGCGCCAGGGGTGCTCACGGCCTCCGCTCGTGCCCAGATGGCGGGATGTCTATGGCGGTTTGCTTGTTTCGGTGTTTGACATCTCTCGTTTTCGGACCAGGTGTTGAGGATGTCTCAGGCGGTGTGTCTGTTTTGATGGCCAAGCCCGTCTGCGCTCAGAGCAGATTCTGAGGATGTCTCGAGCGGCTTGCTGGATTTGGCTCCCCAAAGGGCCCCCCGGCGGTGTAGCATCGAATCGGTACCAGTCGCACGGCCTCCGTGCGCGCTTCCCTGCCCGAGGAAACCCCAGGATGCTCCAGGAAACACACACATGCACCATAATGCAACAAGAGGCTCCAGGAGGCCCCGAGAAACTCCCAGAAGCCTTAGGATCTCCCATGCGGCCCCAGGAAGCCACAGGAAGCGCCAGGAAGCCCCAGAAAGCTCCAGGAGGCCGCAAGAGGCCCAGGAGGCCCCAAGAGTGGCTCCAATTCTACGCGGTTTACGTATATTGCTATAGAGCAGGCCTCTCCTGGAGCACGATTTTTTCTTGTGTGTTACGTATGTTCCTACATATTGCCTTTCTCTTGTGGCTCCAATCCCAGGTGTTCTACATATGTTCCAATATATTGGGCCTCTCCTGGAGCACGGGTCTTGGGTGGAGGAGAATCACAACAAAGGTGCGGGGGCCCTACATTCTTGGACCACGCCCCCCCAAGGCTGGCATCCTCGGCCCAAGGGGCCTGGCGAGGAGGGGCCCCGCACGCTCTCTGAGACGGTCAAAGCCCGTGTGCAGGAGTGGTCATTGTACTGGGGAACCGGGCCCCCCAAAGCCCGCTGGCGATGCGATCGCGAAGGCAGAGCTCGCCTGGCCAGCTGATCTTGGCGAGCGACCCTCCCGCCCCACCGCCGCAGGGATTATGGAGGTGATCGGCACCTTGCAGGAGTCCAGCGGCTCCTCCTTCGACTCGCTGAGGCCGCGCGAGCTCGGAGTTCTGGACGACGAAGGGGTGGAGGCGCGTATTGATTCGGTCGTGGCCATCGAGCTGGCGTGCGACTGGCCAGCCTTCATCACCAAGTTCGCTTTCATACCCAAGGCAGATGGAGGTCTTCGGCCCGTTGTTCTTTGGAGGGCAGCCGTGCGCATCCATGGCATGCTCCGCAGAGGGATCGCCAGGCAGTGGGAGCTCGAGCACGACAGGCCGCATTGGTGGGCGAGTTCGGGCAAGGGATGCGACAGGGCGTCTGGCAGCAACAAGCGCGAGCGGAGTGTGTCCAATCATGGACGCACATCGCTCATATCAAGACTGGGCCTCAGCTTCTATCATGATGGAATTGTGGTAGGCCTTCGAGCAGGTCGTTTACAGCAGCTTACTGCAGGAGTGCGTGGAGCACGACTTTCCCATCTGGCTTGCGAAGCTGCAGATTTCTCTATGCTCGCTCCCGCGCGTGGTCAGCCTTTAGAACTGCTGCCCTGGCGAGATGGCGGCGATGCAGACGGTGCTGGCGGGCGATGCGTTCGCCGCCACTTTCATGATGGTTGAGCTACTTGCGCCCCTGG